GCTGGTGCTAACGTCCGTTGACTGCGTCGTGTTGTCCTCGGCCATCTTCGCTCCGTTGGGTTTTCGAGTTTTCTTCAATTGTGTTCCGTGCGCTTATGTTGCGTAAGCGCAACTTAGAGAGGAGGGTGATGTAATGGGCCCAACTCCAATTACATAAGTAGGTAGATATTTCTTTAGTTATTACATAAGTAGGTAAAGTGGCACACGGGTAGCGTGTGCCAAGGTGTCATCATCTGATTGGTTGATAGTGAGGAGCCAGACTCACTTATTGACCAATCAGATATAGACATGTGTTTGAGTGGTTCACACGAGGCCAGGGGTAGCCGCCCTGGTCCTAAATAAATCAGAGTTGAATTTGAAACAAACCTAAGACTTGGTTTTATTATTGCGAGCTTCCTCCGCATTACAGTGTAAGCTAGTAACGGTATCTCTTACCCCGTTACAGAGTGGCTGACACTTGTCGTTTTGGGCTTTTACTCGAATTTTTAAACCTCCACTGAGTTTATATTGCTCTTTCTATTCACGTAGACCAATCAATGTCTATCTTCCCTTCGCCGATCCAAAAAGGAATGATGTACAAACTCCCCCTTTACAAAACATCATATGCGAATTCATAGTCTGCAGCCAAGTTAGCTGGATAATAAATCCTGTAAAAAAAATATTCTGTAGGATACAGAATACCGGGATAGAAGGGTTAAGATGCCCTCGGAATTGAATACAACGGATGAATCACGAAATGTTAATGCTGATTACGATAGTGAACAGCCAGCAGCTGTGCACATTCAAGAAACGTTTGATGGTGCCGACGGCCAAGCTTCTCAGCCCGTACAGGCAGCGTCTTGACAGCAATTGAGGAGTTCCTACTCAGCTCGCTCGCAAGACGTCCCGATACTGCGCAAGCAGCTCTGACCCAAGTTCGACTAATAGTTCAGAAGTTCCGCGCTCTGGTTACATACTTTCACAAGTCATATGCCGAACCGTATACTTTCACAAGTCATATGCTGAACCATTTAGTTGAGCTAGAAGCTTCACTATAACAGAACATGCCAAACACATGTATTTACTGTTTCGGCACACAGCAAATCATTTGACTTGACTTCTGTATACTTTTGACCTTCTGAGTGTCGCAATAAGACATAATCGACGATTAGAGGTCGCAGCAGAACAGGGACCAGCCGCGCTTCGCTTGGGCTGGGCGCCCCTTCGGCGCCCCCGCGGTTCGCTGCGCTCGCAATATGGAGATAGAATGTTCTGGAAAGTGTAGTGCTCGGCTCGCTGGTGAGCTCAGCGCTGGACCCGCCTCGCACCCGCTCACCTTAGTTGGCGCCGCGGCTATGGCACCCACGTCGCCCAGCCTCGTGTGTGTTATCCCAGCGATGGACGTGTGTTTCTCCTATTTTCTCACTCTTTACTTATCTTGAGCGTCTCAAGATAAGTAAAAAAAGTCTCAAGTTGAGACTGCCAAAGGGAAGAAGGGATTCAAAGAGCTCAATCAGGACAACAATCCGGCGCCAAAAGAGTGGTTTACGAACAAGTACTTAGTGGCTTTGCTAGGTCCCATTGCAGCGGTGGTGAAGGTACTCGGGAGCTGTAATTATCCTACATTAGCGTTGGCTAATCCACTAGGGGGTTTCAGACATCATATCAGTTTGTCTCATTTCTTGTCTCATCGTTTTCGAGCGATGAGGCAAAAAATAACCCTGGACCAGCTCATCGCTTGCCTGTCATCGTTGAAAAGCCTTATCATTTTCAAACCTTTTACATAGACTTTTATAAAACAGAACGCTATAAATAAGGTTTATTCATCTTGAAGGGAGACACGCACCAATGCGGTCAGTGCGGAATTCGACACGGAAACGTCAAGTGCAGGCTTTCCTGCCAGGATCTCTCCAACGTCAAGTGCAGGCTTTCCTGCCAGGACCTCTCCACCGTCCGCGCACAGTCCGTTTAGAGTCCTCTTCCTGCTCGACGTTATTCAGTACGCAAGGTTACCACAGGTTTGTCCATGAATTTAGCTGAGCTCTATCAAGTGCTGAGTATCTTTGCGTGTAGTTATTGGAGATCAAGGCACTGAATCAAGATGGCTCCTAAACGGCAGCAGAAACATAAGAAGACACTGCCTTTTGGGCAACAGGGGGAGACACACCGAGTCTCTCTTACACGTTTCCAGCAAGGAGAGGACGACACAGGTACTGGATACCACACAACACCGTATCAAATTGCTGCTATGGTATCGTTGCTGGGAATTTCTGCCAATTTCAACATCAAAGCAGGAAACTCGACAAGTGGGATAAAATGGCGCATGGTGGAGGCACAACCAAGATCGCTGGGTTCCGCAGCATGGCCGAGTTCGTACACACCGCTACGGTGGATTACATGAGAGCGGAAGCACCGAACCTTGACAATACATAAAAACAAGAGAAGTAAAGAAACCGATGGAACCCATGGCCATGGATTTGACATGTAAATGGACGTCATCATGATACGGACTCCACGAAAAAAAATGTTGATGGGATATAGACAACGGTCGATGATCTGGCAGAGGAAAGTTGCCCATGCTTTCATCGAATTGATGCGCTCTTCGGCGCAAAGTCTAATGTCGCACCCCCTTCAGAGATGAGCGAGCCATCGTACGACGACGCTGATTGGTTTCCCGTGCGAGAAAATATCTCTGACAAAACAAATATCGATCGGTGTAACAGCATGACTTCTAGTCAGAATAGTACCGTGAATGATGCCGGCTACGACCAGGAGAATGTGAGCCCAAACGCTCAGCAGAGTGCAGCATCCCGACCCCTCAATTTGATAAACACCACAGAACAGGATCACACTTCTCAACAGCCTACTATGGCCACGATAGCGAAGCTAACTGCAACGAAGTCCACTCCGGCAACGAAGACTTTCAAAAGCGCCGCAAAAACGAAGGCAACCACGGCTGCAGAGCCAAAAGGAGTCGACAACGCCATGTGCTACAAGCGCAAGGGCTTCGGTAGCGTTTACACAGAGGCATCCAAGAAGCGCCAAGCCTTTAACGAGAAGAAAACGTAAGGTGCAGATGCACTAGAAAGTGAAAATGCTGCTGGAGGAGCGTCTTCAAAAACAATATGAGCGAAAAGCACGAGTGAAGGAGTTGAAAAAACAGACTGAAATTCAGCAAGTTCAAACCCGACAGACCATGGCTCTTGAGCTTCTCAAAACTGGAAAATCACTCGATGAAGTGCAGACGATTGTTGCAGCTTTCTTTCCTGACACAACTTCAAGAAACAAGACCAATGCTACAGCCTCCCGAAAGGAACCCTGCGTTTTCATTCTTTCAGCAGTAGCATCCGGAATACCAAAGAGCTAGCACTTAGTAATTTCATAAAACTCGGCGCTTAATCATTTCCCGTTTGTTTTCAGCATTTCGTGATGCTGGCGGTGTGTCAATGCAGCACCCATCGTCATCTTCATCGTCACTTTTACCTTCAGCAGCGGAAAAGTCCTCGCGATCATCCTCTGTCCATGGGTCCTTCCTTTGCAGTGTAACGTTGTGAAGCAGTACACATAAGATATGGTTGTTGACTTTGTCAAAGTCTTCTGCGACCTTAATCTGCGTCCGCACTCCATATAGAGAAGCCCATCGGTTCTTTAGTGCCCCAATGCAGTTCTCGTTTACCACTCGTGCACTGGACACAATCGTATTGAACCGCGCGTTGTCGGACCGTGCGGCCCGAGGCATCTTGTATGGTGCAAAAAGGCGCTCAGATAAGGCATAGCCGCTGTCACCAATCAGATATTCACCGATGGAAAAATATCGCTCCGAATTCTTGCTGACTTGAGTGTGAGAAAACACCAAGGCGTCGCCGCACGACCCTGGCCAGCCCGTGTGTACATGCAGGATGCGCTGGTCTTCATCGCAGAAGATCTGAACATTCAGTCGATAGCGCTTTTTTCGTGTGAAAAAAAGATGACCATCAACGTGGGGCTTCTGTGAAAAATTTACGAAAGTTCCATCGACGAATCCGATAGCACCACTTAGGCCGTATCGCGCACTATGGAAAGCAGAAGAGGTTGTTCGCTTTGTTGCAGAAGGCCACGCTACAAAGCGGGAGTAGAAACGAAGTAGAGATTTTCGAGCCCGTTGAACGAACTCCGATATAGTCCCAGCCCCGAACCCGTACGAGCGAGCAAGTCTCCCACATGTATTTCAATTTCCTAATGTTCCACTCCATTCCAATGTAACAGCAAGCTGAATGGCGATGTCAGTCTGTGGGTTTTCACTGCCGTTGTGAAAGATCGGGTCGTCCACGATAAGGCTAAGAAGGTAGTCGAATGTTGCAGGATCTACACGAACCGACTGGCGAAACTCTTTTTAACGATGCTCAAAGAGATTGTATCGATGTACCGTCGATCGCGGTATCTTTTGGCGAGACTCCATGTATCGTGTCTGGGTAACACCAGTATATAGGTCTGCTAGCTCATCGACTTCTTTATCGCTCTCACTAGATCTGCCATCTTGTGGGCTGCTCTCTGCGTCCGAACGGCTCATTAATTCTTTTATATACACGCGCGAGCTCTGGCAGCAAAGATTCTTGTAGCAGGGCTCATGATATGGCTCTGGCTATCCTACATATCTCATTTTCTAGCAGTGTGTGTGCCGGTCGAACCAGTACAGCGTTCTCGCGCGGAGACTTCCTTCGAGAGTAGACGGGCGAGAGAGTGGCTCGTCCCTGCTCTAGAGTCCATGCCCCAGGCCATATCGGCGTGTGTCCGGAGTGAGGGTGGGGAAGAAGCTCTCGTCAAGCCGTCTTCTCCAGCTCCGATGTCTGCGGCGGCAACGCCGTTCTGGGTCAAGCGGTACACTACCGGTAGATAAAGAATCTCGAGTGTACTGGCATCGCCACATCG